ACTGGGAAATGGAGATGAAGTGAAGGGCAGAGTTGTCACGAAAGACAATATATTAGCCGTCATTGAGTTGGAGAAGAGAGACAAAGATTACCCGTCCGTTGATTTCGCCGATTCCGATGCCCTACAGATTGGCGACGAAGTGTTGGCGCTCACAGACCCGAGATATGGGATCTATAACCACATGAGCGACGGTCGGGTCACTGATCTGCGTCTGAGTGGATCTCTTGTGCAGAAATTTCAGCGAATGCCAGATCTCGCGGCTTATGATTACATCATACATACGGCGCTCTCGAAGGCTAACGGCTCGGCTCTACTGAACCGCGCGGGACAGGTATTAGGCATGAATTGCACCCAACAGGACAATCACATCAATGTTTGCATTCCCTATAAACACCTCAAATGTACTGATTTTGAAGATGTTTTGAGACAATTTCAATAATTAATGTCGTTTTACAGCTAAAGTCGACGCGATTTTAAAGCAGTCTGAAGGCACCCGACTCTCAATTGGACTCGTTTTGTATCCGTACGATCCAAACAATAAGGAGTGGTTTATTGATAATGAAGTCGATGCGGAAGACCTCACAGATGACCCGGGAGTCATGATTTGGGAGATCTTTGAGGACTCTAAAGTGCGAGGGTTTGTGTTTTGCTATTTAAATAAAGTAATAGCCGTAAAAACTTTTAATTATTACCGTATTTACAGAACTGGTATTTATAAATACGATATAATCACTCATATAAACGGCACTGAAATTAAGTCAATGGATGGCATTAATGATTTTGTGACCACAGAACGGGTCGATAAGAATATAGTTCTTCGGATTAATGGTGTGGACCATAAGATTGAATTAAATACATCGCAAAGTGATTATCAAATTATTTAAATGTCTTATTTTTAGGATTGATTTATATTTCAAATATTGTACAGATTATTTAATTATTAGTTTATCATTTTACCAATTAATCTTTCTAATTCTGAATTTAATGCTTTGAATTGACTAACTTAAAGTGAATCTAATTATTTTAATGATTACCATACTGTTTAATTGAAATACAAATATTATATATCGATATCTTGAGTTAAATTATAATTCTTGTAAGTCTTTTTATTAAGAATATCAGTCATTTCGTATTCATAATATTCTCATAGTTTTCATTTTCAACTACAATTCATAATTTATACCTAATACCTTTTCACTGATTAATAAAATAAATTATTGAAACCAACCCTTAATTACAATTCATAATATTCTGTTCAATACAATCTATTTAGTAAATACTGTAATGTGGCAAAAAAAAGTTTCACAATAAGAATGGGTTTAAAAAGAATTCATATTTCATTCATTCATTGAATGAAGAATCCGTTATAAAAACCGTTATAAATCCAAACAATTTAAATATAAAATTAACGCAAATTTTATTTTTAGCAAATTTTGTTATCATATTTCTATTGATTCTCTTAAAAAGTTACTTTTTCTGACCGTATATTCTATACAACCATAAAACTTCTTGTATTGTAAAATATGTGTACAGATAGTTACAAAGTTTGCTGTCTTTTGGTTTCACTGCAATTGATTCTTATATGCCGTATAAAATGCGATGAATTTGATGGATATGTAGTGAAACCTCACAAAAAGTATAACGATCTGAATTGTTATCATCCAGTGGTCACATCCATGACCAGAATGAGAGATAACTTCTACTTCTTATCCACTTATGACAAGAGATTTTGGTTTATCAGTGAATCAGACGAAGCGAATGACAAGAATAGCCGAAAGTTGGACACAATAACCACTAATTGGCTTAAAATCGATGCTTCGCTTTACTTTGGATTGAACGCCGAGTGCGGCCTTCAGTTCAGGGATTCATTAGTTTTAGTCAATTATAACGAGAAATCACAACAAAATGAGATTCTTTACGGAAATCTTCGCGATTGGAAGTGGACTTCAATGGTTTGGTCACAATTTGACGGCTTTAAGGTCACCGAAACCTTATTGGATTGGAAGCGAAGTATAGACGGCATCGCCATCATCGAGGAGACTCTGTTTCTATTTCAGGGTAACTTTGCACTCATTATATTGTATTTTATTAACATCTATACCTTAATTACTATTAAAGACAATAAACAGATTCGCGTCGACTGTCTCTATAAAACAGATAAATGGGTTTATGAGGTAAACACCGGACACAAGAATTTCCTGATAACCGGACCCTTGAATGCCACTTATTTCGGGGAACAACAGAAAGATACCATTCCCTTATACATCATCAAAGGCGATAAATATCATATTTGCTATCTGAAGGTTTGTATTTTCTACAAAACATATCGTAAACTATGATAAA